TTATATATATCTATATATCTATATATCTATATATCTATATATCCATATATCCATATACATATATATATATATTTATATATTTATATTAATCTGGCGGTCGTATTGATGCGTACTTCAATCACACTAGCTTGGTAAGATGCGACGTCACTGATGGAATCCTATGTTTTTTTGCATGCGCTCCTTGCAGACTTGACTTGTCTGACAGCTGCTCCATAGTAGAGGTGGATGCCTTAGCACAGTTGCCGCAAATGAAGGAATTAAAGCTTAGAGGCTTGTGCTTTATGCGCACTATTGCTGCTCTGAGTGCGCTGGTGAATCTCGAATTGCTCGATCTGGGTCATTGCCACTCGTAAGTAGCGTGGGATGTTATTGAAGATATAGGTACCCGGGTTCACTTGTACTTGCTTGTATACACACGCGTGTGCATGGCACATGTCGCCTGTTATATACCTGGTACACATAACTAACTTACATTTCGATTTTCTTCCTTGCCATGTAACACGCATCACATACGCATATATATATATATATATATATATATATATATATGTATATGTGTATATATTATTTATTTATTTATTTATTTATTCATTTATATATATATATATAATTATATACTGCAATTCGATAGACTTGGAGATGTTGACGCTATTTCGAAGCTTCCCAACCTTAAGAGACTCAGTCTGCGCAATTGCTTAGCGCTGGAGGCCATTCCACATATCGCAATGCCGCCCTTGGTGTACCTGGATTTGCAAGGGTGCACGCGAATCATGGATTTGGATCCATTGGTTGACTGCAAAGGTGTGTAGTGGTATATGTATAGACCAACGCGTTTGACTGTATACTATTTCTGCATGTGAGTATAGATAGCCAAGTGCTGCTGCGGATATACCGTCGTCGAATGTATTTGACTGTATTGGATCTGTTGTGTATATTATTTGTGCATGTGCGTACAGATGATTAGGGATGTTGATGCAGATATGCCGTAGTCGAATGTATTTGACACTATTGCCCTATTGTGCACTGTGTATAGTATATATACGTGTGAGTATATAAGTTCAGATTTCGTTGTGGCAAGTGTACTGTAATCGAACTATAATCGAAAGAGTATGAGTTTAACGGCCCAGGTGTTTGATACATTTACCTGTGTGTCAATGTGATATGCCATTTCTGGTACGCTTTCGGGCTGTAGGCGTGGCTGGTTCATAGTTTCGTCGACTAATCCCAATACTTCTCCGATCGTATCACATTCCAGATACATTACAAACATTGGTAATAAGTCAGCTACAGGTCACCCGCACGGAGGCGATGGTGCATCTGTGTGCGCTGGAGGTTCTCGAGATGAACGGGTGTTCCATGATCTCGGACATGCAGGACATTGCTAAGGTGGAGACCCTCAGACGGCTGAGCTGCAAGTATGTTCTTGATCGCCGGTTCACATGTGGTTTATTGCTGCAACCATTCAATTGGTTGCTGAAAGTAGAGTGTGTTTCTATTCTAATTGCTGCACCAATGTAGTTAGTCGCTGCGAGGGTATGCCTATTTGTGGTTTGTATGTACTCAGCTGCTGAGGGTCAGGTTTAACTTTATGTATGTACAACACGCGGCGTATGTGAGTGTCATATGCTACACCCAAACTCAGTTGCAAGCGTGCGATGCATATGCTGTGGTTGTGCAGGACGGATGATTCATGCCTTTGTTAATCGTATAGTTTTATTATCGAATCTGGTCCGTGCGCCCGCATAGAAGCACAAACGCCACAAGAACAGTTACCACCACTCCACGCCCATCCAAACACTCGCATAACAACCAATGACATGTCCATGAACCTTAACAACTGATTGAATCTACACACTGACCCCTATACGGTAACACACACGTGCATGTGCTGGTGCTTAGCGTAAGTGACATTATACAAACAGGCCAAAGATTGGAACGTATTCACTGCAAACGCACCAACTCGTGACTGATATAAGTCTCATATTATTCCGATACGTTCCGCAGATCCTCCAAGTTATGGGATATCGCTCCGCTGGCGAACCTCAGAGCTCTGACTCACCTTGACCTGAGCAGTAGTACATATATCCTCGACATCAGTACCATCCACCACTTAACGGTGAGTTGTATGTATATATAGAATCCTTACTCTGCTTCTGCATATAATAAATCCCTTCTTTATTTGTGCATATACAAAATCCTTACTATGTTTGTTGATACTCTATGGCGTTGAGTTCATGCATATCCTTGAAAACCCCTTCCTTTGCACGCACTTGCATACATGTAAATACCTATTCCCACACGTCTATATATTGTTATTGTACATTATCACATCATTGAGTGTGGTATTTTAGGGAGTGAACCTGTGAGCCTTCGAGCGAGCACGTGCCTATATATCAATATCTTGCCAAACGTATTGGAACCTTTTGCAACTTCGATACTATCTATATATACGATGGGTGAAGGGCAATGCGCAGAACTGTCTGAACCTCGCAACACCCACTATACCCATAACATACCTTTACTACCCAACTTTCAAACAGAATTTGGAATATCTGAATCTCTCTGGCAACCGACACGCAGTGACGGACATTGGGGCTCTCAGCTCACTCACCAAACTACGCACACTATACATGACCATGTGCAAGGTGGATGATATACGCCCCGTGCGCCAGATGGTCCTCCTGGAGTCACTGTCTCTAGGTATGGGCTCGCTTGCGATGTTTGTATTGCGATGTTTGTACATTTGGTTTGTCTGGCGAGTCACTATCTCTAAGTATGGTCTCGCTTGCGATGTGTGTATTGTGATGTTTGTGCATTTGGTCTGTCTGGTGAGTCTCTGTCGCTAGGTATGGGCTCGCTTGCGATGTTTGTATTGCGATGTTTGTGCATTTGGACTGTGTGGTGAGTCACTGTCTCTAGGTATGGGCATCTTGCGATGTTTATGTTGCGATGTGTGTACATTTGAT